TTTTTAAAACTCGCTCGGTTTTAAAGCTTTTACTCTCTAAACCTGAAGGCTGGTGGACTTCAGCTCCCAGATTCCGGGAATTTAAGCCCACAAGTCTTCAAGTTGCCCAGTTTGGAGACCCCCCTCCTCTAATTGAGCGGCTTTGGGGGGCTGCCCCAAATAAGATGGAGGGGGTCAAGCTATTCTCCGAGGGCAGGGCAAGAAGCAATGGATGGAAACTCATCAAGGAGAGAGGCAACCTAGAATTACGGAGAAACTTCACAAGAGTGAGGACAATTAACCAGTGGAAGAGAAGTTGCCTTCTGACATTGGAGGTTTTAAAGAAGATATTGAACTGGCACTTGTCTGAAATGGTCCTTGAGCAGGGGGTTGGACTAGAAGATCTCCAAGGTCCCTTCCACCTCTCTTTTAATAGATAGATAGATGATAGATAGATAGATGATAGAGAGTGAGAGAGAGAGTGAGAAAGAGAGAGAGAGAGAGACGGACGTAGATAGATAGATGGGTGCGTGGGTGGGTGGATGGATGGATAGGTAGATAGATAGACGGACAGATAGATAATGGTCTAGAGTTTCTTGCTTGAGCAGGGGGTTGGACTAGAAGACCTCTGAGGTCCCTTCCAGTTCTATTCTGATTGATTCATTCATTCATTGAAATGGTCTAGGGTCTCCTGCTTGAACAGAGGGTTGGACTAGAAGATCTCCAAGGTCCCCTCCAGCTCTATTCTGATTGATTGATTGATTCTTGCTTTCCTATCCTTGCATTTTGAAAAGGGAAAGAGAGTAGCATAACACCAAGAGAGGAATAGGAGAAGAGAGGAATAGGATGGGGAGAGGTTGGGAGGGGAGCACAAGCCGGGGAATTCTCAAAAATGGTTGGGCTGTCACTCTTGCCACAGCTGGGCAGTTGAAGGGAGATGCATTCCAGCTCAGACACCCTCTTTGAACACAGCTGGCTGGGCACAGAAAGCCAGGGTCACCCATGTCCGCCTCCCTTTTTAGAATCCGCGCCCAGACGTTCTCCAGGCCAAGCGACCCCCCCCCCTGCTTAGCAAAAGCTGCAGCCACCACAGCCCCCTCCCACCCGTGCCAGCATCAAGGGGAGGGGCCAGCAGAGCCAAAAGCCAGCAGGGACCCCAGACAGCCATTCGTTCTCAGGACTGTTTTGGCGCCTGTACACCCCCCACCCCTCCCCTAGCGAGACCCCACTCCTAGTACGGGCTGTCCTTCTCCTCACCACTCAGCCTCTCCAACCCCCTTTTTTGGCCATGCCCCTCCCCAAGCATCTCTAAAATCCTGACACCCCGCCCCCCACATATAATTCTTACTTTATTCAAAAAGTAAACTCACCCCTGCGGAGGAAGCCTAAAAGGCCATTCACTTGGTTTAAACAAGGTTTAACAATCAATCCCCCCCCCACATGGGGTCTGGGCGTTGGGAGCCACTCAGTCTAAAGGAGGAAGCTTGAAACCAGTCAGAAGGATCTGCCCTGCCCACCCACCCATCCCCTCCTCAGGTTCAAAACAAGCCACCAGCCCCCCTGGCCTGGAGAGCCCCCAAGAGGCCTTCATCTCCCAAGAAAGGAGAATATTTGTAGAACAGGGTTCAAATGGGGGTGGGGGGGTGTTGGTTCTGACTGAGCTTGGTGGTTCTCTGGCAGATGTTTCCTGACCTTGAAACATCTGCAAGAAAACAACAAAACTCAAAGAGAGCCGGAAGAGCCAGACAGTCCCCCTCCCCCTCCTCCCTGCAACCCCCCTCCCTTCTAGCACCGATGAGGCGCCCCAGTTGGGTCCTGGAACCTCTGCAGGAAAGCCGCCCAGCTCAGAGAGCACCAGGGAGCCCCCCCACCCCAATTTCCCTGAGACCCCCGGCTGCTTCTGCCTTCCCTCCTGCGATGCGCTCTTGCACCAGAGCCAGCCAGCCTTGAATTCATCCGCGGGGGCGGCAGGAGCCCCTTTAAGGATACTTGACCCCCCCCAGCCCAACCGGTGGCAGGAGGAGGAGGAGGAAGGGTCTCTCCAGACCGAGACTCGGGGCTCTCAGCAGGGAATTCCCAGGACGGGCAGGAGCGAAGCCCCTGCGGAACGGGACTCTCCCCACGTCCCTCCCCGCAAAGGGCCCCGGTGGGGGGGGGAGGCACCGAAAGCGCTGCAGCCGTCCTAGGCGCGCCCGCCCTCAACCCTCTCGGGGCAGGAGGCCGCCCTGCGTCCGGCGCTCCCGGGGCTGCGACGCTCCCGGACTCGGCTCCGCTCAGCTGGGCAGGCGAGGGGCGCTCCCGGCTCTCCCAGGGGTGCGAAGGACCCCCGGCTGGCGACCCCCGTCCGGAACCCCTCCGGGCCCGGTTAGCGGGCGCCTTACCGTTCTCCGTCCGCCGTCGGGGCTGTCTGAGCGGCTTGTGAGGCGCCGGTGCTCGCGCGGGGCTGTAAAGGCGCTGCCGGTGCCGCAGAGCTACGTGAGCGAGGGGGGCGGGGGCCCGGGAGGGGCGGGGCCAGACCTCCCCCCCCGCCTCACCTGCGGAGCGGGAGGAGGGAGCCGCTGCGGAGGCCGG